ACATTGATCTCCATTTTACTGAGTTCATTTTACAGCTAAAGGATTTTTGAGAATGCTTTAGTCAATCAGATCACCCACATAACAGAAATTTCCACTAAATCTGCTAACTGGTTTGGGAAATCTTCATTGTTCTAATGCAGGGACAAGTCCTAAGATGTTGGGGGAGAAAGGCTGGGTTTTCTGAAATTTTTTCGATATAGTAGCCATTAGACAGCTCTAGATTTAGATGAAGAACAGATAAATCAGAGTTGATGCAGTACTGATGGAGAAAATGAATGGCTGGTCAAAAGCTGAAAGGATCCAGCTGACCTGCTATAAATCCATGTTGGCAGAAAAGCACATTGCTTACTTGCTTAAGAGATTCATTAGTATTAATATAGAAGTTCAGTAGGTCACAGAAGTCTCATGCTCTCCTGGAAGGCTTAGAATAGAAGAGCAAGGTAAAGGATTCAAATGCTCCTAATGCCAATACCCTCTGCTCTGTAGAGGTCTGGAGAAAACCCATCCCGTTCTCTGCTGTCAAATTAGCCACTTTAGCCATTTCATTTTTTGGTCAAATCTCCTAATTGCTTCAGCAACAGTCTTGTTTGACAAGGGACTCAAGGTCAAGGCCTTAATGTAATATTCTTCTGGTCTGATTTTTTTTCCTTCAATAGATTACACAATTAAATAGACTACTATACAGATAGAGTTGTGATTAAAATAATCTCATTTAAAAAAACCCACTGTGCAGTCCAATGGAAACTGAGTGAACAAAACTGCTGTTGTTAGACCTGAGCAGAAGTGAGGGCCCAGGTTTGTCACTGAGTGATTAGTATTATGGCCTAAATTTACTCTTGAAGGACTCATTTCTGTTTTCTAAAACTGGTTCTTGTATGAAGAAGCAAAAAGGAAAAGATAAGGCCAAGAAGTGACTTTGGAGAACAGTGTTGAGGTTAGATGCTAATGTTTCCTAATTACTAAACTTGTAGGTTCTGTAAGGCTTCCACTTACTGTCAGTGGGCAAAGTTTATTTCAGCTCTCTAGTAGAAATGCTCTAGTTAAGTGAATTCAAACTTGCAGCTGAAGTTATTTTACCGTGGAAGTGGTATGTATCAGAACTGTCTGTTTCATTTCTTCCCCATCAGAATGCATGTAATATAAATCAAACTTTAAAATCACAATTAATTTTAAGGACCAGTCATTAAGTTGTTTATGAGATCTGTTCAGATAGTATTTCAGTAGTCTCACAGAAATCTAGTCTACATTTCTTGAAATAAGATTGCAAATGGAGTCCCATATTGATTTCAAATGAAATCTGTGCATGATTTGGAAAAATATACTTTCACTTTTTCAGATTTTTCCTCAAAATCTAGAAAAAGTGGTGAATCTATTTCAGCCATCCATGAGAGAAGGAAAAGACTGTTGAATTTTTATGCTTAAACCTGGCCATTCCTACCATTTTCTGCAGGACCTCTTTTGTTCTGTCCACATCACTGCTTTTCTCTCACTAGATACATTTCTGTGGTAGCTAGATACAAGCTGTGTCTGCTAGAATGAGTCTGCAGAAATTTTTCAGTAGCTTTGTGCAGAGTCCTTACTCTTACTGTTAGAGACAGTGAGAAGAAAAAAGATTTCTATCCCTGTCTCAGATGATAGAGCATGGCATTCTGTTACAGGCAGGTAATACTAAAAATCCTTACTCTGATAAAAAACATCACAAGAAAAAAATTCTATTGATGCAAATCTTTCATTATGCTTAATTTTAAAATTGTCATGGATCTGAAAAGCTCTAACTTTATGAAAAGTATTGCTTTTAAAGATGATCTCCAGCCAATGCATGAGTTAGTGAGTGCTTGAAACTCTTGGAGGTGATGAGATACAAAAACAAGTACTGAGTCCAGCAAAGTAAAACAAGATGGACAGTGAAAAATAATTATTAAATGGAAAACCTACATACTCAAAGTAAGTAAAAATAGGTGTTCTGAAACTCTGAATAGCTCTGTAATTCAAGACTATTACTATGATCCACTAAAACATACTGAGACTTCTGCTTAGTGTATCCTAGCTACATATACTGCCCAACTCTCCATGAAGAATTGTTTTCAACTTAAAGTGACTCAAATAATGAAGATGGTTTGCCTCTTAAATAAAAGGACTGAAGAAACAGATGTGTTTTGCAATGCACAAGATGATGAAGCTAGGCTCTAATCACTCTTTCCTGACAATACTACATTTATTTCCAGACTAGTCTCTAATTACAAATGCAAGCGCATGCAGCAGGAAGAGCTGACATGGATGTGGCAAACATCCAGAAATTTGAGGGCATTAAATATCAAAACCAACCTTGTATCTTCCTTAGAAATGAGGCCAAAGTTCACTACAGACCCGAAGTGTTGCTCATGGTTCAAAAAACCCCAACCAAGCTACTGTTATCTGCAGCAGATAAGTTTGGTCAGAAAATATGGTACTGTGTCAAGTGCATTCCAGTAGTGTTATAGCTGGTTATTTGCTTTAATAATATATCTGTCTCAGATAAAGGTTCTGAGGTTCCCTCTTTGTATTTGTAGCATCAGGTGCTAAAAATGAGGCTTTTCACTATGGAGAGTAGGGCAAAGTACTTGCCCTGTGATGTGAAACAGTGTATAAAGGATGGAAGAGTTTCATTAATCACTATTTGGCATTTCCATACTGCTACAGGGTCTAAGGAAGATGAAGCTTCAACAGTTCACTGCTTCCCCCAACCTGATAAGAATAGATATGTATGAGTCTCATACACATTCTGTTGTATGTATATACTAACTAACCCAGACTGAGGTTGTAAGGAGTATGAAAATAATCTAAACTGCAGGGTGCCTTGTAGGGACTTACCTTCCATTTCCCCAGCAGCAAGCTGAGAGCCAGAAGAAAGAAATGACAACTCCTAGCATGACAACTCTTTCAGTGGATAGTTCCTAGGGCTGGGCAACGAGGTGCCACCTCTTATGCAGTGTGAGATGTGAAATGTTAATTTTTCCCTCAGGATATATGAGCTCAGAAGAAATCTGAAGACAGGTGAAAATGTAACAGTGTGTATTTTTCTAATATATGTGTGACTGGAGTGAATTTATGCACCGGAGTGAACAAAGAGATTATTTTTTTTAAGTTTACAAACACACCAGAGATACAGCAAAATAAAGGAAACCTTTGTTTGTTTGTTAGTTTGTCAGATTAATTTCATTTCAGCTACACATCTCTTCCTAGTTCTACTACTCAGGCCAGCCAATCCAACCCCTTTACTTTCTTCCTGGAGGAAGTTACAAAAGTCTAAATATCAGCTATCTTTACGGTTCTGCAGTGTTTGATGGCCTGTCACAGTCTATGAAACCACCATGAGTTGCATCCCATGAACACAAAGTAACAGTCATTGTCTCAAGTGTGGAATATTTTGAATCTATAACAAATTCCAGCAATGTTGATTCATTCTTTTTTCTTAATGAGTTCTGTTCAGGTTCAAAAGAATGACAGCATATTGACTATGTAGGGCTAGAACTAACACAAAATACTATAATACTACTATGAAAAATATGTTGCCTTATATTATACTTTTTTTAAAGCTACCTTACTATCCAGAAGTGAAGTACCAACACCATTCACAGTTATAACAAATTGTAGAGAATCCCTGCCTACTGTTGATATTAAGGCTCTTCAGCCCAAATCTGGAACCAGAACCTGACATCACTGATACAAAATCCAGCTATTAGATCTTCAAACTACCCAAGATAGTAGGATTCTTCTTTGATTCTGGAAAGTATTCCTGCACTGCCTTCAGAAAGCTAAATATTCGTAATCTTTTATTTTGACGTATTCCTAGTCCTGAATTTACAAATGCTTGATCCAAAGCCAAAATTAGATGCAACTCTTACAGAAAAATATATTATAGTGTATTCTTTGGTGCAACTTGGTAATAGTGGTATGTGGTAGCAACATTACAGGCAGAACTAGAGGGATTTTTTAAAAAACACAACACCCAAGTTCTTGATGACGCACCAAGTACAATTTTGTGGGGGATGATATTTATCTCCCATCACAAGAATAACCCTCCACAGCCACTGATTTGTACTCCCAGATTGGCAGAAGTGCTCACAGAAATGTGTTTTCTTTGAAAATTTTCTCATTCACTACACTTTTTCTAACTGCTTCAGAGTCGAGGAGACAAAACCACTAACATCAGAATATTTATTCATGCAGATAAGATTTTATTTCTGAAAGGAAGCAGGAGTCACCTGTATTTATAAATCCATATGTATTTTTATATATGCACACATGTATGTATATTTACATTTATTTCTGTGCCTTCATACGTAGATTTTGCACATTTGTATATAAATATGTATATGAATAGCTGTCAGGGCGGGCTGGCAGCACAGGGCTGTCAGCCAGCCGCCGAAGCCCGATGCACCCGGTGGGCCGGCGGGCCCCGGACACCCGGCAGGGAGAACGCAGGGCGCTGCACAGGGGCGGACGGGTCCCCCCACCCACCCCCGAATCGCGGAGCTCCGGCGGGGACGTGTCCGGCTTCCCAAGCGAGCGGCGCGCAGGCGCCCCTCAATTGCCAGCCCCGGTGAGATGCTCTCGGACGTGGGAAGGGGATCGCCCTGCCTTTCCCTGCCTCCTGCTTTCTTTCCGGTCCCCCTGCCCCACTTTTCCTCCAGACCCCTGGCTGGGATTTGTTACTGTATTTTTTCCTTGTCGCTATTTTCTCTTTTAATCTTGCCCACCCTAGGGGAACGCGGTTTGTAACCCGCTCTCTGTAGCTCGCGCTCCTCCAAATAGCGCTATTTGAGCGGAGACCCGCCTGTTGATTATCGCCCACTCCCCTTCTCTGAGCTCCCACCCACCCTTTGCCCCCACCCCACTTCCGTTTGATTCCAAACCTTCGGATGGTGTTTTGGTGTCATTAGGAGATTAACATCCCTGGAGCACCAGGGGAGGAGGAGGAGGAGGAGGAGGAGGAGGAGGAGGAGAAGGAGGAGGGTGAACGGGAAAGCGAGACAGCAGGCAGGAAGGTTGGCACATTAACACGAGTGAGACTCTCCTCCCGCCGTCCCAGCCACCCTCGGCTCCTGGGTGGCAGCGGAGGGGGCGTTTGCCGGCGCGGCGGGTTGCGGACGGCGGCTGGCGGGTGCGCCCGGGACCCGCGCCCGCGGAGCGGCGGGCTCCTGAGCGCAGCCTCCCTCTCTTTTATGAGCTGCGAGGCGGCGGAGCGGCAGCGGGGGACACCAGGAGGAGCATTTCTTCCCCGGGGTTTATGAATGGCACTGACATGGAGGAAATACCGTTTCAGAAAGTCAAGACCAAGAGGAAGAAATGCTGCCACTGCTGCTGCTCCCCGCCAGCTGCCGCGGCGTCGGGAGCGGGAGCCGGGCTGGGGGACCCTCCTCCCTTGCTGCTGCTGGATGCCATCGCCTGCGAGGACGAGTTTGACTGCAAGGAGCTGGAGGCTCTCTTCCAGAGCTACAACCTGAAGCTGGAGCAGACGTCCACCCTCAAGGCGCTGGCCGTCCTCATTGTGCTCACCGCCAGCCTGGCCCTGGTGGAGCTGCTCTCCGGCCCCAGCCTGACCATCTCCAAAGGTTCGCACCCAGTGCACTGCATCATCTTCCTCTCCCTCTTCATCGTCACCAATGTCAAGTACCTGCAGGTCACCCAGCTGCAGCAGATCGTCAAGCTCACCTTGCTCTTCAGCTTCACCTTCTCCTTCCTCTGCTGCCCCTTCTCGCTCGGCGCCTACGGTATGGAGCCGCCCAGCGCCCCCGAGCAGGGCATGTGGCAGCTCATGCTGGTAACCTTCGTGTCCTACTCACTGCTGCCCGTCCGGACTCTGCTGGCCATCGTCTTCGGGCTGGTGGTGTCCGTCTCCCACCTCATCGTTACCGCCACCTCCGTCAGTGCCAAGAGGCAGCGGCTCTGGAGGACGGTGAGAGAGGCCGGGCCGGGCAGTGCAGCGCCGCACGGCTGCGGGGTGCCTTCCAGCCCGCGGGAGGGAGCGAGGGCAGAGAGGCGTGGAGCGGCCCCGGGGCGCGGCGGAGGCTGCGCGCCCCCCGCCTCGAGCCCCCAGCCCGGGCGGTGGTCGAGGAGTGCCCGGGGTGTCCCCGGCGGGGAAGGGGCAATCGCGCACCTGTGCCTTGGGCGGCTGTTTCTGTAGTTCCCCAAAGTTTCCGGGAGGCAGGGGGGAAATAGGTCAGCTTTGGGGAGACGGAACCTCTTGGCTCTGTATCTCCAAGGAAAAGCGGGAAGAGGGCAGTGGAGCAGCTATATCGTGCCCACGCTTGGGGCAAGTTCAGAGCACCGCATGCACAGTCGGTGCAGTACAGCCCATTATCAGTAACACTGCTTGGCTCGGTACAAACTTGGCAGACACAATAAGCTGCGTGTGGTAATAATACTTCCACGGAGTTGGCTCGTATCCTTGCTGTCTTTCTCAGCCGTGGAACCTTCGTGCTCATACACACCCTATCTACACTTCAGATAGTGTCTTTGAAGACACTACTGAAATAAGTGAGACGCTCACAGAGGGAACCCCACATCACTGCTCTCTCAAAAAGCGGGGCATTCCCCCTTCAGCTTCCCCAGGGCAGCTGCTGCCTCCTCTCCACAGGCATTACCTGCTATGGCAGTGAACTTCCTAGTCGTTCCCTTTCCCCTCTGAATGAATCCAGCAAAATCTCCCTCTGCAGCAAGTATCTTTGGAAATGTGCTGCTGCACTCTCCCCTCCTCCCCCGAGGAGCTATTTATATCCCTGCAGGGCTTTCTCCGGCTCTCGTGGCCTGATGGGCCGCACTGGCAGGGGGAGGAGGATGAGGAGATGCGTGTATGGGAATCACTGGGGCTGACAGTCGGGGTTTGATACTGAATGCTCTGTTATGTGGTGCCTCTGAACCACTGGGAAAGAGAAATTGAAAAATTTTTCTGTCCTTCCTCACTAGCATTGATTATGTCTGCCCTCAGGGGAAGCACACAGGTTCTGTGGTCCAGATTGTTGTTAAACAACAATTTAATGTATAATTGAAGTACTTAGTACATTACTTCTGCAGAATCCTGGTATTATTCTCCATGACTGTGTAAGGCTGTGTTGTGATGCTAGGGCGTACACAACTGGCATAAGCACAAACACTGGCATGAGCAGGATTGTACACCTTTGTGCCCAGAACCGTGAATTCCTGCCTTCTCCTTCCATGCTCACACAGACACACCTCAGTGTGACATACATGCACAGAATAGAGATACACAGGGACAATCACTGAGTTGGGTTACTGAGACAAACAGGATTATTCATGGCTTCACGCTGCTGAGCTGGTGGACAAAATAAATTGTATATTTTGAAGGAGAAGAGAGAGATAAGCCGAGCTTTATGATTTACCCAGATAATCTGATGGTCTATTTTTAAATATGTGATTTAGGGTTTCCATGAGAGGGAGAGCTGATGAAATGCAGGAGCACTGAGAGGAGCCTTCCTTAAAAGCATTCGAAATGATGCTAAAAATGCTAGAATATTCTTTTTGAGTAGAGCTGAACATAGCTCTTTTACTGGAGTACCAATTAGCCCTTATGGGAGTTCTGGCTATCCTGTCTCCCCTGACACACAGGCAGATTTTCCTTGATGCCGAGCTGCAGCTCAGTGTGGCATCTGCTGTTCTAGATGAATAACATAAAGAAGCTGACAATAATGTCTGCTGACTAAATTATCTAACCAAGGTCGTGAATGTGAAACATTTTGAAGAGGGAAAATCTGCTAACTCCCTTCACACTAGTTTAATTCAGTTATTCAACAGGCAAGAAGCTGGCTTAAAAATACGTAGAAATAGTTGATTAACATCTGATGTAACATATGTACGTTTCTTCTTCATCACCCTCTCCCTCCACCAAGGTAATTTCCGTGGTTTGCATGCAGTCCCCAGAGCAGTATGCCTTGCTGATAACAGGAGGCAGAAACCAGCTCTGAGTCAAGCAAAATAACTGGTCTGTGAACTTATGGTGCACAGAAATTCAAACTGATTTGTGGCATAGTTGTAAGGAAAAGGCTTATGATTTGAAGATTATCTCTGTGTATGGAGGGGACTCATCCCTTACACAGAAGTTTTTTTCTTTTCCAAAGAACAATTTCACAATGGTTGAAAATTTAAAGATATGTAAAGGCCGCATCATCTGAATTTTACTTGCTCGTCTTGGGAATAGCTGAGCCTTTTTTGTAGAACGTAGAATGGATGTTGCCTTGAAGTCGAGATCTGATTTCCAGACACAGGATATTATCATGACCACTCCAGTGCTTGTAGACACAGCATGCAGATGGCCTGTCAGGGAAGTAGGACTGCTCTATGTAGAGCTGCAAAAGCGTGAAAGGGCTCAGTTCTTTCTCCTACCCCTTTCTTCCTAGCCCCAAGCAAGTGGATGAATTAAAATTTTTGGATAGAAATCCGCAGTATCCAGAAATGCAGAAACACCTGCAATCACTGACACCAATGTTCTGCTAAAAAAAAACTATGATTTTTCTGTGGTTCGGGCAACTTGGGAACCAACTTGAGAACCAATTTGATTTTTGTTTATCCTGATCTTTAGGAAAGCATGGATCTAGTAACTTCCACTGAAACTAAACTGGAAGATATAGTTGTCAGTAAGACGAAGCACTTCATGTTGTTTCAGGTTGAACCCATTAAGAAACAGGCATAACTAAGTCAAGGGATTTGTTCTGAAATGAACTTTTGGATGCACATCTTCTATTTCATGCTATCTGAGGAATCTCTATTTGCAAATCTTTGAATGCCAAAAGCCTGACTAACTTCAATAGGGTTGAATCAGACACTGAATGGGTTCCACAGCATGCTTAAAACTTGCATCCATATAAATGTATGAACTCTTTATATAGTAAAACCAATGCTCCTTGTGGTAGAAGTTTGTCACAAGGTCTATAGAATAAAGAACATTTAATTTGCAAGGAGTAGTTTTCCAACAGCGCAGTTATCTGTGGGTGGTCTGTGGAGATAATGTCATGCCATGCCATGCCATGCCATGCCATGCCATGTCATGTCATGTCATGTCAGAGTTGAGACATAGGTATGTGTAAAGGCAAGAGGAGAACAACAAGTAAAAGGAGGTAATATGAGTCAAGGGAGTAATGTTACAGGACTTGAGCTTCATCTTTCCGCTCAATAGCTGTTTTTTCATCAAATGAAAGATTCTAATCTGCTAATATGTCCTACTCATTTCTTAAGAGAAGTAGATAATATATATGTGTGTGTACATATATATATGTATATATATAAAATAAGAGTAATATAAAAAATATACAAAGTACTTGTGATCAACCTTGATCCCATTTGGAATAAATTCATGTCAAAAAGCATGCTGACTTCACAGCTGGTTTTGCATGTCTTATATGACACTGTGATAAGGATGTAAATGGAGTATATAACCTGTATGGCATTGATCATAGTAGTTGGACTCTTTCCCTTCCTTTGGAATCATGGAACAAAATACTCCTGCCATAAAACATGACAAGGAATCCACAGATGGATGAATGTACAAATGAAGTTTTAACAGCTTGGACTCATCTTTTTTTTTTTCCTCTTTTTTTTTTTTTTTTTTCCCCCCCTCTACAGCTTTCAGATATATGTTAGGTGCTTCAGAGCAGTTACAGAAATACAGAACCCTGCCCCAAGGAGCTTAGTCTAAGTTTTGTTGCAATGCAGTGAGTGGGTGTTATAGACTTTAAGGAAGATGGGGTAAGGAAGGCAAAGGCTGCTCACAGAAATTATTCGGTGGTGGCATTGACACAGTTTGATGTCTTACTGTTAAATAACATTTTCTGTCCCTATAGATATTTTTCTTCTTTTTTTTAAAAAAGTAAGCTTATTTCCAGAAAATTAAAAACCAGATCATACACCAATAAAGTACCTTTACACATCACAGAATTCTTTGTGAAAGAGCAAATCTTTAATGAAAATCAAATTACAACATGAGTAACAAAAAACAGAAGAAAGCAAGGTGCTATCATAAACTAGGGAATTTTTTTTTTTCAGAAATGTGGTGAAATAAATGTAGATTTTGGGCAGTATTTTTTGGTCTGCATTTAAATCTGATTTTATGCATGTGTTTATTTATTTGTATGATAGCCCTTTTATTGATTCAACAAGTACCAAAAATTGTAGTGGGGAATATATAATCACTGTAAAGGATAATGTGGTGGAAATTGGTATCTTTTATTTAAAATAATTTATTTAATACTTTAAATTGCATTTTATCTTAACTCTTTACAGGTTAATGTGATAGTAGTCTAGAATACTGCAAGGAATGCTGAACTTAATCTTATTCCTGTTAGTGTTTAATATGTAATTAATGAACACATCACTGGCAGAACTGTTGATCTCTACACCTTTGTTTCTCACACACAAGGCAGAGCCTTGGGGTTGAAAATCAAAGATAGCTCAGCTCCACTGGCATTATTACTCAGTGCAAAGCTCAGGTTTTCTTCTTCATTCATATAAAATACTGCTGAGGGACTCTACTAGTTCATTCTCTGTGATGCTTTTCAAATATTAATATCAAGAATATCTCTGGTATTGCAAACATATCTAATGTCTGTTTGAATTCACTATTTTCCTCTTTCCAAAGATGAAGACCACTGGAGAATCACTGAGCTTCTCAATACCTGTGTGTAACTCTAACTTCCATTTGACATTTAGTCCTTATTGAAAGATTGGTAAAAGTTTTTAAATTTTTTGTTTCCTTCCTAATTAAAGTGGGATTTTAATCTCAATGTGTGGCATAGGGTTTACCAGGTATTGACCAAGTCTCTTTATCTAGGCACTGAAGTATAGGATTTTCTATGGAATGTAGAATTCAGGGTCTTTTTCTACGTAAAGATTAGTATGCTCTTGGCTTCTGAGTCTGCACACTGCTGAGACTGCTACTCTTCGTGG